GGCATGCTGTTTTACTGAACGCGTGGTGTCGTCCACAAAATCGACACTCTAAGGGTGTAGCTGTAGCTTTTTGTGTTGTTCTTTCCATTTTGTCAACTTTGGCCTGAGCTTCAGCTCGTATTTCCTCCACACTAGTCATTGACTGTTCGAAGGCTCTGCAAATCTCGATTGTTCTTTTCAGGGACAGCTCTGGGCATGCCAGGAGTTTTTCCTGCACTTTTCTGTCTGAGGAGAACACTATTTTGTCCCGGATCATCCTGTCTGGCTCCTTAAAATTACATTTGTTTGCCTGGGACTTTAGCTTCGTTAGGTAGGTTTCAAATGGGGAGCAGATGGGTAATTTCCAAAAGCGAAACGTTTCTAACACTTCGTTGTCTCTTGGGTTGCAGTAGTCGTGTAGCTTTTTCAATAATGCCTCAGGGTCGCCCTCGTCCTCCCCTTCCTGGTATGTGAATTGGTCACTGACTTCGATGGCCTGGGGGCCGGCACAATGTAGTATGATGGCCTTCTGTTGGGTTTTGGGCCTACCGTAGGCTTCCGTCGCTTGCAGATAGATTTCCATCTGCCGCCTCCATCGTCTGAAGTTTTCACTAACATTCCCTTCCGTTAGCTCCAGGCAATGGGGAGGCGTCAGTATATTTTCGGCCATGTTGTATAACCCTGTCTCTACTGTCCGCTTTGTAGATCTTTTGGTTGCCTCCCTTGATTGGCCAAAGCGTACGTGACCTTGGGGGTAGACTGTCCGATTTAGTTCTCTCTATTTATCTGTAAGGTCTCCCTTGACGTATGATCACTTACGTGGTTCACTTGATGTATTAGCGCTTACGTGGTTCACTTTACCGCTGCCACCATGTTAAGTTGGTCCCATATAATTGAGGCAACACTTCTTGGAATTGGGCCTAATACTTTTATTCAACACCAAAAGACGCCATCTTGCGCGCAGCCTGAAGTTTTACAACACAAAACACATAACTCACAATAACTAAGGGCTATAACTTACATATCAACTATTAACAGTGTATAAATGCGTTTACCAGTTCATCCGATATATTCATATCTAATATAAAATATTGTGAAAACGGGTTTACCCGAATTTCTCAAACTTACTTACTGTGTGTAGGGTATATAACTTAGCTATTGTGTTACTTACCGAGTTTTAGAGGACTCAAAGTTGAACTCATATTCTCAAATGACGATGGACAAATCACAACACAATGCGACACCAACCGCAGCAACATACGTCTTGGCTTCATCCATCTCTGGACCAAGAATTAACAGCTCCACCTGCATTCCGCTAGATGTAAAACCGGCCCGGAACCTTCTGCGCTTCTTCAGCACTGCAACCACTGTGATGACTATGGCAAGCGAGAGTGGTATGACCGTGTCCAGGAGACTGAAGGTTTCAAAGTAGTACGGAAATGAGCATTCCACTGCTAACTTGGCGCTACCCATGATCATGGCAGGGATGGTGATCAACGAGGCGACCCAGGGCAATAAAATGACTCCTACGGTGACAAGCCGTTGTCCGAGGCTGGACAGCCAAACGCTAAGTTTCAAGTCCATCAGCTGCAGGACAAACACGATGACCATTGTAAGCAGTGTGTAGTTGGACACAAAGTCCAGTATGAGTTCAATGTTAATAGCTGCGTAAAAGTGAGAGCAAAAGTGTCCGTAATCGCTAGAGAAAGCAAAAGTCGTATGCAATGGACCTTCCACTAGGCAGAGCAACAGATGGTGAACACATGTGCTGATGAGAAGCTTATTGCGCATGCGTGACCTTAATTCTTGGCTAGTGGCTATGGCAAGAAGCAGCCAGAGGTTAAGCAAAGTTCCCGATATAATCACTATGCCATGGAATGCCTTAAACGCAATCATTCATTTTTGGAGCAAATCTAAAGGAAAATCCTCAGTTTCCAAGTTGGGATATGTTTCATTTGAAAAATTCATATTGTTTATATGTAATCAGTAGAACAGGCTTCTTCTGAGCGTCCTTCAAAGTAACAATTTATTTCTCTTAAGCAATAAATATGTGCATATGTACTACTTATAAAAGGCATCTATGCTCTGTTAATAATTAATAAATAAAAAAAAATGTATAAAATGCTTGCAAGTCAAATCAAAGCCGCTTTTTCCCTCATGTTGAAGTAATTAAAATCGATTAGCGTGTCATCACAAAGCATAGAAGTGATCATTGTTAAATTCCTAAGTGCCTTTTACAATACGCAATGGATTTTTCCGTGGTTGCCATGTCGTATCGAAACCCCCTTAGAAACAGACATGCTGATAATTAACTCCCTTAGAGCAGGTGAATGAAATATTTCTGGTCGCATGGTATGCGAACTGGACTGTCGTTCGGATGACTGAATCTCGATGGTCACGGGTTTATACCCTGCCAGCTGCCACCCCCCCCCTTTTTTTTCAGTCTTGCGGCAGGTTTTTGGCTAGGATGAATTTATCCTTAAATCTAAAGGTCAAATTTGAAACCCCCCTCTCCCCCCCACCCTAGATACGCCACCGATGAAATGGTATATTTTACGAAGGCCAGTAGGTGTGCACTTAAAAGGAAACTTGTGAAATTGTAATAAGTATTGTAATTAACTGAACTCCAAATGATCTAACAAAAAAAAATACATTTATAAAAGACAATACCTCCTTTGTGCAACTTACAATAAAATATAATATTATTAAAAATTATTTTTGTTTTACCTCTAATTGGGTGTCGAACTCTTGCTGTTGACACCTTCAGCTTATTAATATATTGATTCCTTTATTACACATAGAACTTTTAAAGATCTAGTCTATATGTAGATCTAACTTTAAAGATCTAGGTGTAGATGTAGGTCTACTTCTAGATCTAGAATCTTTAAGTAATCTATAATAGATTTACGTAAAAATATAATCAAAGCTAAGATAATCTATCAATAAAGTTATAGCAATGTAAAATTTAATAAACAACGTTTTTTATTGAATAAGTTCAATGATATAGATCTAGGTCTTTAAACTTAGACTTGGCAGACGATGCACAATAATTGTCTGAACAATAATTTAATAAACTCTTCAATCAATAGATTTCTGAAGGCCGAAAAGAGGAATGTGAAAACAGAGCTGAAGAAGTTTAACACGGCGTCACACCTTTCTTAGAGGACCCGAAATTCGTGGGCACTAGCCAGGAAAAGGTGGAAATCGATTACGACCGATCTATTTGGAAAGAATTCGCTACCCTATGAGAGAACGCAGGAGGAGGTTCTAAGTCAAAGTAGACCTAAGTCTAAGATATATCCAAGATATGGTTTCTCATTTGATAAGGGTGAGGTCCCTTTTGTTCGGTTCTGACATTGAGCAAAAAAACAATGAAATGGTTCACATGTTTGTAAGCATAAAATGAATACAATGTGTACATAATAAATCAATATATTACGTACAAAATACATCAACAAATTGTAACAAAACAAAATTGTTGAAAACCCGATTCAGTGGATATCGTCCAAAACATAAGAATGTAAACTTTCCCATATTAAAAATATATAGAGAGAGATTTTGAGTAAAATACAAAGCTTTGATATCCATGAGTACTGCTATTTCTTAGTAACTGAAATTGTTTGGAGTGGGGGGAGGGCGTTGTACAGCGTGACTTTTTTTTTTCTTTGCTCTGATCGCGTTTGCACATGGGCAAAAAAGGAACAGATAATGATGACCTTATTATATTGAGTAAAGACGCGTCTAACAATCGTGAAAGGTTTTAGACATCTGGAAGAAGCATCTAGAACCAGCAGGACTGGAGGTCAATGACAGTAAAACCATATCACAATGACAAGTGACTATTAGAGGAACACTGTATTAAAACCACTGACTAAAAGTTTGAAAATGTTGAAACAATCAAGTATATAGGAAGTAAGGTAACTATTAGCACAAAAAATATACATATATATATATATATATATATATATAACAAGAAAAACATGAAAATACTTTAAACAAGATTACAAAGAGATTTTGTGTTATCACAAAATCCCAGAGGCGGCCCCATCAAATTCGCCAACCAGAAATATATTAAAGCCTTAGTGTTGTCTTGACTGTGTAAAGTAATTTTAAAAATCAAGCAGTGCAACAAGTCTTATTTGATAAGACACTTCATACTCTTCTGGAATAAGTAAAGTAGCGTTAGCTAATCACCTAAGATCAGCATGGAAACCTCCCGATACAGTGTCGGTGGTACTTACTGCGGTAGCTCATAAATTTTCTTGAAATATGTTCCAATAAACACTATTGCATGTTGTTGTTTTTTTTTTTGTTTTTTTTTTGTTGAACCAACACAGTGAGCTGATTACTTACTTTTATTGGATTTTTACTCAAACGTAAAATCGCAATGTTTATGACATTTATTCAAATATTATTGCAAATTTTACAATAATATTTAATAAAAATTATAAACAGACTCAACATCATATGAACAGGTTTCCTTTGTTATACTTAAAGACAGAAATGGTATAACGTTGTGTTGTGTTATTTTCACTTAAACTACCATCTAGATGTGTCTAGGCATTTTTGGGCATATATCTAGAGATTTTATTATTATCTTTTCCAATGTGTCTGCTTTTGCCAAGTTATAATTTTTCCAACTTGGTTGTCACCCCAAAATGGGTTCAAACTGTGCGGACATAACCCCTCGCACCCCCCCACCCCTCCGTGACGCCACGGCTCCAAGATATATCTCGATATTTTATTATTATCTTTTCCGATGTGTCTGCTTTTGCCAAGGTATATTTCTTTTCCAAATTAATTGTCACATCTAAAAATGGTGTCGACCTATGTAGGCTGAAACCTCGGCCCCCCCCCCCCCCCAGCGACGCCACTGCTCCAATAAATACCTAACTCTTCCCAACAATTTCAATTTATATATTGGAGTAGACATATTATGAAATTTAAAAAAAAACGAGCCCGCACAACAAAACAGGTTCATAAGAAGTTCATATTTAATTATTTAAAAAAAAACAAAAAACATTTGAATCAGTATATCATTTAATGAGTTAGTTAATAAATGTGACCTAAGCTTATACGAAGTGTTGTTCTATCAGTCATGTCATTAAGTGTGTATTCTGTGCGGTTAGAAACATTTCATGCTTTTAGCTTTCTCAATACGCCATAATCTTATCACTTATCTGGTAAATTTGGGGTTAGAGAGGAGATATCTGCGTGAATTTTACCGTGATCGTTTTTTTAAAGCATTTAAAAAAAAAAATAAGGGGAAATTTCCTGAATTTGAACTTATGATCCAAGCCTCCTCAAGCCGACATTCTAACCACTCTGCTAATGAGGTGTGTATGGAAATAGAAGATTGTTTAGTCTTAAACTTACTTTAAAGCGACGACCTATAAAGCTTATACCACCACCTCAGTAAAGTACAATTTCTTTCCCTTGTTCGAGATAACAAACACAATTAATAATTACCTATAGTTAATTGATTAATAGGTAAATTATTATATTGATTCTTGTGTTGAAAGTTAAAAGAAATAATTGTGTGAAATTTCAGGTTGATCCAATATTTTGTGTGGGAGAAATAAGGTGTACCAACTTTTTACCAGACAGAAAAAGCTTTGTAAAAATCATCATGCGTTACATCGAAAAATCTTACAGAAATTGAATTGCAATGCTAAAAAATGAAAAAAAATATATCATATACTCTTGATACATATAGACAAATAGCTTATCACATCTTACAGATAAATTTTAAAAAAAAAAAGCTATTTAGAGTTATCCGCAAAACATTGACATTTGAAATAGAAACCAGTGTGTTCATACTTTTTATTTATATTATCACAAAACAAATAGGCCTTTAATAAATTATTGAAAAGGATTTAAATTAAAATAATATTTACATAAAAAGTTTTGTTTTTCCGTTTGCAACACACAAGAAATATTGAACTCATCTTGACCTTAGCAGCTTCTCTCTGCTAGGCTCCTCATTCAAAACACACATACACTCAGATGCACACACATGAATGTGCATACACACAGTCACAGACACACACACATACATTCGCACATACATTCACACACACACATACACAATAAAACTAACCTATTCTTGCTGTCGCCAGTTGTGTGTGTGCTTCTGAGTCTAACGCCATGAGCTTTAGACTATAAAACATTTGGCCCCCTTACTCAATAAACAGTCGCCGCTTATTGTTCATGAGACCAAGGCAAAGATAATAGGAAGCACTAGGCAATATGAATTTTGAGGCCCCAAATGAAATAAAAACATTTTTTTTAAAGGGAAAAAATAAAAATCTGCATTTTATTAAATATGTAGTGCACTACCAGAGTAACAGCAAAGACGCGTTTCGCTAATTTCTTCTCTCAAAAATAGTTGTTTTGAGTCTCGTTCGAGGCCCCCCCCCCCTACACACACATCAATGAAGGGAGCATTTCATTCTTTGCAAAGGTTTTAATAGAAATGATAAAAGACAAATTATCTGTAAAAGTACTCTTAGAACGAGGCTGAAAAGTCAACCATAAAAGACCTCACAACACAAAGTGGCTGACATTTCCATTGTTTTGTAGATCAGCTTATCAATAGGTATCATTTATTAACCATAAAAGACCTCACAACACTAAGTGGCTGACATTTCCATTGTTTTGTAGATCAGCTTATCAATAGTTATCATTTATTAACCATAAAAGACCTCACAACACTAAGCGGTTGACATTTCCGTTGTTTTGTAGATCAGCTTATCAATAGTTATCATTTACATTTTTGACAATGTGTTAATATAGATAATGTTTTCTATTCATGACTATTCGGAACACTGTCAGCCAACAAATGGAGATCAAGCTTGGGTGTGTCCACTCTGGACGTCGGTTGACTCTATTCCAGGTTTAGGTCGGAGCCAGGGCTTCCATGACTTTAAGCGTTGTCTGACATCTTTAAACATCAACCAGGGAAAAAACATAAACAAAGGTCTGGCGCATTCCAGTGTGAATGCGATATACAAAACAATGAATCTGTAAGAAAATAAATACGCGTTAGTTTAGTCTTATCCATATCTATCATGTACAGCTACATCATTGTCACACTATAAGTCTATCTTTTCATTGGTCTATCTATCTCTATCTATCTATTCATCAATCCATGCATCCAATCTCTCTCTGTATCTGTCTATCTAGCTTTACATCTATCAATGTATCTTACTTACTTATCTTACTATCTGTATCTGTTTGTCTGTCTCTATTTACCTATCTATTTACCTATTCTATCTATCTATCTATCTATCTATTTATATATCTGCTTGGTATACTTACTGTGTGTAGGGTATATGGACTAACCCTTTGTGTTACTTACCGAGCTTTAAGGGACTCAAAGTTAAGCTCATATTCTAAAAGGGCGATGATCAAATCACAACACAATGCGACACCAACCGCAGCAATATACGTCTTGGCTTCATCCATCTGTGGACCAGGACTTAACAGTTCCACCTGCATTCCGCTAGACGTAAAACCGGCCCTGAACCTTCTGCGCTTCTTCAGCACTGCCACCACTGTGATGACTGCTGCAAGCGAGAGTGGTATGACGGTGTCCAGGAGTCTCATGGTAGCGTAAGAGTACGGGATTGAGCATTCAAGTGTAATAAGAACCTTGGCGCTACCCATGATCATGGCAGGGATGGTGATCAACGAGGCGACCCAGGGCAATAAAATGACTCCTACGGTGACAAGCCGTTGTCCGAGGCTGGACAGCCACACGCTAAGCTTCAAGTCAATCAGCTGAAGGACAAACACGATGACCATTGTAAGCAGTGTGTAGTTGGACACAAAGTCCAGTATGAGTTCAATGTTAATTGCTGCGTAAATGTGAGAGCAAAAGTGTCCGTAATCGATAGAGAAAGCAAAAGTCGTCTGCAATGGACCTTCCACTAGGCAGATCAATAGATGGAGAACACATGTGCTGATGAGAAGCTTATTGCGCATGCGTGACCTTAATTCTTGGCTAGTGGCTATGGCAAGAAGCAGCCAGAGGTTAAGCAAAGTTCCCGATATAATCACTATGCCATGGAATGCCTTAAACGCAATCATTAATTTTTGGAGCAAATCTAAAGGAAAATCCTCAGTTTCCAAATTGGGGTATGTTTCATTTGAAAAATTCATATTGTTTATATGTAATCAGTAGAACAGGCTTCTTCTGAGCGTCCTTCAAAGTAACAATTTATTTCTCTTAAGCAATAAACATGTGTATATGTACTACTTATAAAAGGCATCTATGCTCTGTTAATAATTAATAAAAAAAAAATGTATAAAATGCTTGCAAGTCAAATCAAAGCCGCTTTTTCCCTCATGTTGAAGTAATTAAAATCGATTAGCGTGTCATCACAAAGCATAGAAGTGATCATTGTTAAATTCCTATGTGCCTTTTACAATACGCAATGGATTTTTCCGTGGTTGCCATGTCGTATCGAAACCCCCCTTAGAAACAGACATGCTGATAATTAACTCCCTTAGAGCAGGTGAATGAAATATTTCTGGTCGCATGGTATGCGAACTGGACTGTCGTTCGGATGGCTAAATCTCGATGGTCCCGGGTTTATACCCTGCCAGCTGCCATCCCCCCCCCCCTTTTTCAGTCCTGCGGCAGGTTTTTGGCTAGGATGAATTTACCCTTAAATCTGAAGGTCAAATTTGAACCTCCCCTCCTCCCACCCTAGTTACGCCACCAATGAAATGGCATATTTTACGAAGGCCAGTAGGTGTACACTTAAAGGAAACTTGTGAAATTGTAATAAGTATTGTAATTAACTGAACTCCAAATGATCTAACAAAAAAAAATACATTTATAAAAGACAATACCTCCTTTGTGCAACTTACAATAAAATATAATATTATTAAAAATTATTTTTGTTTTACCCCTAATTGGGTGTCGAACTCTTGCTGTTGACACCTTCAGCTTATTAATCGAACGATTCTACCAATTAGATCAGCGGGCATTGGATAAGGTACAAAGTATATATTGATTCGTTTATTACACGTAGAACTTTTAAAGATCTAGTCTATATCTAGATCTAACTATAAAGATCTAGGTGTAGATGTAGGTCTACTTCTAGATCTAGAATCTTTAAGTAATCTATAATAGATTTACGTAAAAATACAATAAGATAAGATAAGATAAGATAAGATAAGATGCACAATATTTGTCTGAACAGTAATTTAATAAACTCTTCAATCAATAGATTCCTGGAGGCCGAAAAGAGGAATGCGAAAACAGAGCTGAAGAAGTTTAACACGGCGTCACACCTTTCTTAGAGGACACGAAATTCGTAGGCACTAGCCAGGAAAAGGTTGTGGAAATCGATTATGACCGATCTATTTGGAAAGAATTTGCTACCATATGAGAGAACGCAGGAGAAGGTTCTAAGTCAAAGTAGACCTAAGTATAAGATATATTCAAGATATGGTTTCTCATTTGATAAGCGTGCGGTCCCTTTTGTTCGGTTCTGACATTGAGCAAAAAAACAATGAAATAGTTTACACGTTTGTAAGCATAAAATGAATAAAATGTGTAGATTACATTTAAGATATTTCGTAACAACGAAAGCCTCCGTAGATAGATGTATATTTAGCAGAGATGAAACATATTTAAGATGTCAACAGGAACACTTTAATTTGTTGTGCATGTCCCAAATTATGTTACGTACAAAATACATCAACAAATTGTAACAAAACAAAATTGTTGAAAACCCAGTTAAGTGGATATCGTCCAAAACATAAGAATGTAAACTTTCCCATATTAAAAATATATAGAGAGAGATCTTGGGTAAAATACAAAGCTTTGATATCCATGAGTACTGCTATTTCTTAGTAACTGAAATTGTTTGGAGTGGGGGGAGGGCGTTGTACAGCGTGACTTTTTTTTTTCTTTGCTCTGATCGCGTTTGCACATGGGCAAAAAAGGAACAGATAATGATGACCTTATTATATTGAGTAAAGACGCGTCTAACAATCGTTAAAGGTTTTAGACAACTGGAAGAAGCATCTAGTACCAGCAGGACTGGAGGTCAATGACAGTAAAACCATATCACAATGACAAGTGACTATTAGAGGAACACTATATTAAAACCACTGACTAAAAGTTTGAAAATGTTGAAACAATCAAGTATCTAGGAAGTAAGGTAACTATTAGCACAAAAAAATATACATATATATATAACAAGTAAAACATGAAAATACTTTAAACAAGATTACAAATAGATTTTGTGTTATCACACAATCCCAGAGGCGGCCCCATCAAATTCGCCAACCAGAAATATA